ATTAACACCTTGCACTAGTGCGAAATCATGCCATTCATAAGTAAAATAAGAATAATACAGTTATTAGATATTAAACATTTAAGCATTTTAAACAAGCAATTGAGTTTATTCCAGCTTGTGGGGCCTTCGATGTTAGTTTGGCTGCTCTCACAGACTCGCTGTTTCCTCCAACACGGGCCGGCTTTGCGAATTCACTAGCTACATTTATTGTGCAAAAATGAGAGAGATCGTTGGGCATAAATTTGTGCTTATAATTATGCCGTTGTTAGTGAGTCAACTAAAATGTATCACGACTAAGACCACTGTCGCAGGTAATTATGAACTAAAACCCACAAATAAAACTCATTTTTCCGCTAAACTGCTTATTCAAACGGTTTAATAGGAATTTTAGGCTGATATGATGGTGGTATTTTCAGTGTACTCATGCCTTATCCGGCCTCTCTAGGGAATTGGGCGTTTCAAAAATTATTTTTTCATCGTAAGAATAGCGCACATCAGGAACTCAGACCTAACTCTTATCCTTGTGTTGCATCTACACGGTGGAATCCTCATCCTCCAATTATAACAAGGCCTAAGAATGCAGCTTTTAGTCACAACGATTCGGCATAATATACATATAACTTTCAACTTGAAATAAGTAAAGAGGAATGGAACCCAGGGACTTATTTTTTGTTTCCTTTATGTTTTATGAATAAATTAATGAAATTGTCGCCTTTTGATTCAAACGCCCCATTTCGTGTTTAGATTGCTAAGAAAGGTGGATCAAACTCATGGATAGCACAGCATACAACTACAGCACCGGTATAGCAACCAACAACACGGGCGGCAATAGCATTAGCGGTGCTAGCAGCAATAACCGTGTCATCTTAAATGTCGGTGGAGTTCGTCACGAAACGTACAAATCGACACTGAAAAAAATTCCCGCCACTCGACTATCACGGTTGACCGAAGCACTGGCCAATTACGATCCCCTCCTCAACGAGTACTTCTTTGACCGACACCCGGCAGTGTTCGCCCAAGTGCTCAATTACTACCGGACCGGGAAGTTGCATTATCCGGTGGATGTCTGCGGTCCCTTGTTTGAGGAGGAGCTGCAGTTTTGGGGGTTGGATTCCAATCAGGTTCGTCGCCTTTACATTCTCTTCGTGCTTTATGGCCTTCGCGGGGCTCAATTGGAACAAAATAATTCAGTTTTTTAAACGAACCAAAAAATTAATTTGGTTTCACTATGAAACAAATTTGCTGTCTCTGATTAGCAAAAAAGGGGTTCGCAGCACTTTTTCCTCATGCTTTAAGGTACTTGATCAAGAACTCCAAGACATGTACAACGTATTCAGCTTTTTGAGGCGACAGGGCTCACAGGTAGATGTGTTTAACATGACAACTTTAGCTTTCCCAGCCTTCTTTACAGACAGCAGAGGGTTGAAGGCGTGTATAAAGACAAAAGAAAAGTGATGTGGCTATTGTCACGGCCCGACAGAGTCACTTTTGTCTCTCCCAGCGGCCGTCACCGATCAAACCATATTTCAGTAGTCAGCTTAACCCCACTTTATCAACAAAGATAAGAAAATTTCAACCTTCATGCACAAAACCAGGCTTAAGTTGGGCTCTTCTGCAAAAGAGGCATTAACAACTTGCAGTTTCCTTTTCTGACTGAAGGAACACTTTCGTCTGATATAGGCTGCCTACATGAAAAGCAGAAATGGTGTTTGAGAGGATAAAAATCCTTTCATATTTACCCAAAGTTGTTTACGATTCCTTATTAATAGACTGTGCACATCAGCATGGCAAACAGAACGTTCGAGTTTGCTGCCTGTCTGAGGCAACATTGATGTCCGCATGAGGATGCTTGAGATATCTTAGGATCTGCAGAAAGGTCTGTCTCTCCTCAACCCCAAACACTTGCAATAACTT